ATTCACGAAGTGTATCAGTTACTTTTTCATACGATGTTCGTGCTTGTTCTTGTAAATGTTCAGCTTTCTTCCATGTTTCATGATCAGATGTTGATATATTAGGATTCTCAATTAAAGTTTTCATATGTGAAACATGTTCACGTGCAGCGGTTAAAGCATCATCAAGTTGTTTCGATAAAGGTGCAAATAAATGATTAATTTCTTCTTCAAGTCTAAAAATATATAAGTTAAAAATATATTTTCAAGAAAATAAAATTTGCTAAATTTACTTTTTATATTTATCTTCAGGAATTGGAGGTGGGACTCCCATGTCACCAGCTTCTTCCAGAAACATAGGATCACCAATTTTTTTGGTTGGTTCACCTGATTTACCTTTGGCTAATGGTAAAGCATCTTTGACAGTTTCTTTAACGGTATGTGCTGCATCTTGAACTTGTTCTTTAGCATGTGTTAAACCTTTTTTTAATCCTGCTGTATCAGGTAATGCTTCACGAACAGTATTGACTGCATCTTTAACCTAAGAAAATTGAGAAAAATAATTATTTTCGAAATTTTATGAATGAAAAATGAAGTTATACCTGGTTAGTAGCTTGATCAACAACACCTTTAGCTTTATTTTGATCTGTTAATTTATGATAAGTATTACTAACAGCATCTTTTGCACTTTCACCAGCTTTTTTAATTGTAGTTTTATCAGGTAATTTTTCCAAAACATTATTGGTAGTATCTTTAACTTGTTCACCAATTTTTTTTATTTGTTCTTTACCCGGTATTTTATCTTTAACATAAGCTAGATCTGGTATTTTGTCTGTAATTTCTTTTGTAAATGGTTTTTGTCGACCGAAAACAGGATCAATAACTTGATCAAGACCACCTAAAACTGTTGAACTATAGGGGATAGTTGATTCAAGTTGACGACGAAACGGCCCATTTTCATATTCAGCATAAACTAATGTTGCTGTAAGACCAAGAGTAACACCATATATAATTGATTTAATCATTCTACCACCGCCACCACCACTACTTCCGCTGCCAGTTGGTGGACTTGATCTTGCTGATGGCGGAGGTATATATGATGGTGGAGTGTTTGTTGTTTTATTTGGATTATTTGTTCGATCAATAGGTGCATTGAATGATGGTCTTGCCGTCGCTGTTTGTGTTTTTAATGTCGATGAAGAATTATTAGTAGCATATTGTGTTGTATGTGAGCCAGGTGTTGATTTTGTCGAAGCAGTTATACCCGTACCAGGTGAAGCAGGCGTTTGTTGCCATCGCTTAGTGACCAGTGAGAAATTGTATGCAGCGGATTGTGAACGAGGCAAATGAGCTGCACGAAGCATCGAGTAACACTATTTCTATTAAAACGGTTTAAGAAATCTAGAATAAATACGAAAATATATTGAACAAATCAATCATTGTATCGGAAAATAAACTCACTGACTTATTTTTCTCTCTCACATCATACAAGCAGCCATCTTGAGATATACTAAGACTTCACAAATCCTATTTTTCTCTTGAAAAAATTCTATTTTAAGATACAAAATCAGTTTAAATGATGTTTTCTTAATATTCAATCGAAAATATTTTATATTTTCATCACCAAATAGTCTATAAATAAACATTATTTAATCATAGATGTCGCACATAGTTGATCTTATTAAAATAAGAACGCAATACAGTGATTTTTATTAGACTCCCAGAGTCATTCTGTAGATACTACCAAGAAATAGGCGAACTTGTTAAATTTGAAGCTTACATTTAAATATTTATGTCTACCCCTTCTTTATACAGATACTCTTATTAGCCTTATTTTACGTCCTCTCTTTCACTCTGTGGTGCCTCATACAGTTATATCCTCCTCATTCGTATTAAAGAGTTATGTTTAACTTCAAAATTTATCATACACGACTTTTTCTTGATGTGATTGGTATTATTCTCTATAAATTTTATTCGATACATAACTATTATAAATTTCAACAGTATTATCAAATTATGCATCGAAGCTATAGAATAGAGTTATCGAGATGATTCAATGAAGTATAAGATAAATAATTATTAATTTATATAAAACTACATTGACTAATACATAGATTTTATAATCTATATGTTTGTATAACAATGCTATTATCGCTTTGCTTTCGTCGATGTCCAGTTATAAAAAAGGGTCTAAATTTATTTCGACTTTCTTGTCAATAAGATGGGATTTGGTTAACTGATAACCTTTCTCGACTGATTTAATTTTCTTTTAATAAATATAATGTTTCTAGCAAGCTCATTGTTAAACTAAAAGCCAATCTGGCTTTTTTATATTTACTCTTACCGTTATTAACCTTTCTATTAAATAAGAAAATGAAAATTTTTAATAGAAAAGGTTACGAATATGCTATCTTGTAAATTAAATTTCATAAAACAAACAAAAATCTTTAACTACGCTACATTGAATCACTAGATGAGTAAGTGGATGGACAAAGAGTTAAGAAAAATATCGATAGTTTTCAGCCATGGACGAACAACCAACACCAAATTCTTCAGAGAAACCAACACGTCGACATACAATTTATTATATTGCACAACAATCGCATAAGCCACGCTATGATTTTGTTTTACCATCATATAAGAGAGATCGACGTGTATCATCAATAACAACAACAGTACCATCGGCAACTATTATCAATAATAATTCAACAATTATTAATACATCAAATCTAGAACAAGATTTATCATCATTAGATAACAAAAAGGGTAATACTAATTTAACGTACTCAATTCTTTTTGTAATTGTTTTTCTGAAATTTTCATATTTTTTTATGTAGAAAATGATGATCCATATTCATTGGAACAGGTGATTTGTTACAGACATGGACGACATGTTCAAGATAAAGCATTATCACGTCAAGTTCGGTAAAAAATCGTTTCCGCTCTTAATCTATATATTTTTCAAGTTATCGAATAGGAAATTTTATGCGCGTCAGGATGAAATAATTGATCAATATTCAAATATACATGAACGCCATATATCTGGTATATCTCACGATGAACATGCTGAACGAAATAGACGATGGACACTTCTACTTATTAAAGCAACACTTATTTCAAATATTGTAGCATAATTTTCTTTCCAATAATTTTTTTGACAATTTATTTTTATAGATTCTTGTGATTGGAAAAATTTTCTCTGCTATTATTTCAAAATCATTATCAATTGCTTCATCAGCCGTCGAGAGTACAATCGATTTAATGCTAAATTTTGCTATTTGGTGGGCTAATAGAGCAATAAGAAAACGAAATCCATATTTTTATCCACAAGGTAAAATGGAAAATTTTCAGTAGGTAAAACTTTAATAAAATCCTATTTTTCATTTAGGAAGAACGCGACTTGAACCAATTATTATCATTATATTAAGTATTGTTATGTGTGCAGCTAGTTTTCAAGTTATTTTTGAAGGTGTTCGTTCAGTTATTGAAGATATTGGTTATTTTCGAAATGTTAGCGGTTATGCGTATGAAAAACCACCAATTGATATCAATCCAGCTGCAATTTCAATTATGTGTATAACTATCGGTAAATTCTTTTTCTATAAATAATACTTTCTATTCTAAATCAATACAATTTACTTTCATAAAAGTCATTAAAATTGTGTTATCTATACTATGCTATCGTGTTTCAACACCAACAATGTCAGCACTTGCTGCTGATCATCGAAATGATGTTGTTGCAACAATAGTAGCATTAGTATTTGGAATTATTGGTAAGATTTATATCAATATTATATTCATATAAACATATATATATTTTAATGTTAGTAAAAACTATCAAAATCAGCTAACACTTTTGAAAGACTTCATATGACTACTCTAACGTGGACATAATTTATTTTTCCTAGTATAGATAGTTATAAAGTAACAGGATAAGAGCGTATGATGTCATCGTTAAGTACAAACTTATTGGTTCGCTGGTTGGAAAGAGTGTTCACATGTCGAGACGAAGAATGAACAAAAACATACTTCTGATTATACGCTTAGTCACTATGAAACAGTGCTTAACATGTAATGTCATAATAACAAAGTCAGTTTTGTCTCTAGTAATAAATCTTTGAGAAAGTGACATTTACTTTATAAATTTTAACTTCTCTTAAAATATACATATATTTATTGTTCATAAAACATTCTTATAAAGTTATAAATAAAGTTATTTTTAGAGAAATAAACTATTCTTCTCAATTAGGTTCTAAAGCGATAGATGGTGAAATTAAACCCAAAGAACTCTCAGTTATTGACCCAGTTGGTACGTAAAAAAGTGAAATAGACTTTATCTTATTTCGAAATATTATATTTTTCAGGTGCTATAGTGATTAGTTTATATATTATTATTTGTTGGATTCCACAAATTCGTCGTATGTATTACCGTTCTTCTTTTATAAATTTTTATTGGTTTAAATATTTATTTGTATATTGTATAGTTCATATTCGTAATCTAACTGGTTATACAGCTCCATCTCAGTTCATTCAACAATTAACTTGGATAGCATTTCATCATTCACCTCTTGTACGAAAAATTGATACAATACGAGCATATCATTTTGGTACACATTTTCTTGTTGAAATCGATGTTCTTCTTCCAAATGATCTACATCTTGGTAAAGCAGCTCATGTTGGTATTAGTCTCGAACAAAAACTAGAAGCATTACCAGATGTTGAACGTGCTTTTGTTCACTTAAATTGCGAAACTACGAATAATAATGCTAATTCTAATTCTTGTAATATAACTGATAATCAAGATCACCAGTTAGCTACAGCTGTCAATCGACGACAGCACAAGGCTGTTTAAACAAATAAATGACACAAAAGGTTCTTAACCTTGATCTATATTCGTTCGTTACTCATGATTAAGGGTAGTAGTTTTAATATCCTCGGATTTATTCATTTATCAAGATCTTCTTGAATAATCAACTTTTTGTTTCTAGAAAGATTCTTATTTTAAATTTATAATTCGATCAGATATGACTGTTGAGATATCTGTTGAGAAAAATGACGTAAACAGCTTTGTTATGAATACTGCTGATCAAGAAAAGCAATCGAGTGAAATTGAACCAACAACAGAAGAACTTCATACCTTACAACATATTTCTGATCATATTCCGTTAACTGCTTGGATGATTATTCTTTGTCTCTTCTGTGGATCGTTTGCTTTTTATGGTATATCTGGACCATTTCAAAACTATATTCAGTTTCCTGTACCTTCTTCTAATGATACACAACCAGGTGCACTTAATCGTGGTCATCAAACAGCAACATTATTAACAACATTCTTTAGTTTTTACTGTAATATATTTCCCATTGTTGGTGCTATTGTTGCTGATCAATTTTGGGGAAAATATAAAGC